CCGCCCCGAGCCCGAGGCAGCAGACGGGGGGGGGGTTAACTTGGAGGAGGCCCGGCAAACAGTTTTCCACCACTGTCCCGTAATGGCGGATGAGACGAACGGGCTTTCAAGGGTGGACGCTGCCTCGGCAAATGAAAATCTCGCTTTTTTTTTCTTCGCTACCTACCGTACCTACCTACCGTTACCTACCGTACCTTCCTCCCTTCCTCTTCCCACGGGAGGAAAGGGAATCCCGGTTTAATGACAAGAATTTTTTCCTCTTTTATTTTTGAAAAACCACATATCCCATGCGGTCGCAGTGTCCCTTCCGCTCGTTCAGATGCCGTAGGTACCGGTAGTTCTAATTCATGCGTGGAAATGTAGTAGTACACGTGCGTCTATAAATACATATATATATACCTATACACCTTGAATCAAACCCGCTCGGGCCAGAAAAGAAAAAGAAAAAAAGGGGGGTAGGTACCTATCGCACGAGCCGTCCATCTCCCACTACGGTACCTACCTACCTACCTCCTACCTACCTACCTACCTCAGTCCCAGCCACGCACGGAATGGGCCCCTCTCCGTCTCCCTTCCCTTTCGTTCGTTCGTTCGTTCGTTCGTTCGTTCGTTCGTCTGAAGTCGCGCAACCGTTCAAACCAAAATCCAAAATCCAAAAATCCAAAAACGAAAAACGAACAAAAAAAGCCCCAATTTTTTATTTTTTTTTTAATCTTTCAAGTTTCAATTTTTCTTTCCAACTAGTACCCACCCCACCCACGCACCTACCCACGCACCTACCGGCACCTACTACTAGTACTAGTACGTAGTACGTACTTACTTACTTACTTACCTACCTACCCTTCCAACAGACACACAACAGACGTAGGTACCGGTACCGGTAGGTATCCCGATATCGGCCACGCACCCACGCACCCACGCACCCACGGGCCGCCGCAGAAAAAGAAGAACTAACTACCTACCTACCTACCTCCCAACCGAAACGACGGGTAACACGGGATTTTAACCCTTTTATAATTTTTTTTTCTTACCCTTTTCGTTTGTCCTTTTCCCTTTTTTTTTCTCCTTTTTTGCTTTTGCTTTCTCCTTTTTTTCCTATCTTGCTTTTTTTTCCTATCTTCTTGCTTTCCCCTTTCCCTTCTTCTTGCTTTCCCTTTCCCTTCTCCCATCTTGCCTTTTCTTGCCTTTTCTTCCTTTTTTTGCTTTGTTGCTTTCTAGAATTATTTTCTCGTCGTGCATGCATAAGTGAGCGTAAGTGTGTACAAGTGTGCATGTATAAGTAAGTCAGTATGAGTAAGTGTGCATGTATAAGTGAGCATAAGTAAGCGTGTATTCATTTCCATCTCCCGCTCCATGTAAACACGTCCGTCGTCTTTCATTCTTCTTCGTCCGTACGTAACTCACAGGCGTGCTTATCTGCGTGCGTGCGTGCTATGCTCTGCTCTGCTCTGCTCTGCTTGAGTCGAGCCTCGTTGGCGTCGTCGCATGTAGATAGATAGATGGGATGGATTTGCCTTTGCCTTTGCCTTTTGTTGGTCGTTTGCGTACAGACATACCGAGCGATGTTGGTGTTGATATTGATAGTGGTGTTGGTGTTGGTGTTGAGAGTGATAGTAAGAGTGATATTAATATTTTTGTCTTTATTCACATATATGCATCCGGCATGTGTTTCACGCCCCTCCACCATTCCACTATTCGCCCACTCCCACCCACTCCCTCTCCCTCTCCCTCCTCTCCTTGACCTTCGCGCCCCCAGACATCAGTCAAGTACTACGTACGTACGTACGGTACGGTACGGAGCGGAGACACAGAATGACGTAACCTCCCTCCAACCCCCCAACCGGGTTTCCCCCTGCAGGGCTCTCTTGTCCCCTCCTCCTCCTCCTCCTCTTCCTCCTCCTTCTCCACCTCCACCACGTTTTCCGGTCTTTTTCCTTTCTTCCTTTCCCCCTTTGCCCCTCTTCCCCTCTTCCCCGGCTTGTCAGCTCGGGATCCAGGCGACGAGATGGGAGGGAGGGATGATCCCTGTTTGGAGCCTGGTGTCTGGTGCCTGGTGTCTGGTGTCTGGTGCCCTCAGCCCTGTCATCTATCTATTTATCTATCTAACTCCCAATCTATCTATCCGTCTTCCGTCTTCCGTCTTTCCGCTCATCCATCAATCAATCAACCTTCCACCTCTGCCTCATCGGACAAAAGTAAGTATCCAGACGGAGACACACACACACACACACACACACCGGCAGCGTTGTCGGTCTATCAATCAGACTTTGGAAACCAAGCCTACCCATCTACCCATCTACAGTATCTGTACTCTCTCTGCGGCAAACTCTGTCGATAAATGAGATGAATGTAATGCGATGCAGTGCAGTGCGATGCAAGGCAGGGCAGGGCAGGGCAATCTAATGTGGTCAGGTGGGGATAGGATGGGATGGAATAGAATAGGATGTAATATAATATCGTTAATGCGGCCAGCGTCGCGGTTGAAAGCTACGTAGAGTGCGGACATATATACATTCTCTAGATAGATGGATGGATGGACAGATAGATACTACTACGTCGCAGGCGTAAGTATTACCCCTCGAGGGTATGGAAAACAGGGGGTTTAAAGTGGAAACTAAACTTTTAAGGCACCCTCGAGGGGTAATACTTAGGCCTGTACCGTGGTAGATAGGCAGACAGACAGACACGCGAGCATCTTCCGTCCCTTTTAAGCGGCACTCAAAGTTGCCCTCCGTACTACTACTACTACGTACTACGTAAATGAGTTCATTCTGTTACACTACATGCGTGCATGCATTGCATTGCATCTGATCCAATCCAGTCCAGTCCAATCCAATCCCATCCAATCCAATCCAACCCAATCCCCCTTTCCCTTCCACCATCACTTCCACCATCACTTCCACCATCCCTCACTCGCCTACCGGTAAACCACAACCTCAAGCGCCGCTCCTGATTGGCCTCACCCACCGGAAGATCTCCTCGTCACCTGCCACCTCTCACCTCTCACCTCTCACCTCTCACCTCTCACCTCTCACCTCTCACCTATCACCTCTCACCTCTCACCCAAAAAAAGAAAAGGAAAAAAAAAAAAGACAAAGAAATCGAAAACCTCAGCTCCACCTCTGGGTCCAGCCGTCTTCGCATGCATGGCATGGCATGGCATGGCATGGCATGGGCAGGCAGGCAGGCAGGCAAGCGAGCAACTCACGCAAACAAGAGAGATGCATCCCATCTCCATCCCCATCTGATCGCCACCCGAGCGAATGTTCCACGCCCTGAAAATCATGACTTCCAAGCCCCGCCTGCCTGCCCGCCCGCCTTCCTTCCTTTCCTTGTTCTGATTAGGTGGGTAGGAGGGTAGGTGGGTGCTACGTAATTGCCACCGGACACCGGTGGACGGCTGGACGGCTGGACGGTACCTACTCTGGACGGTGGATGGATGCATGGCAGAGAGCCAGCAAGCAGGCAAGCAGGCATTACCCTTCTCTCTCTCTCTCTCTCTCTCTTTCCCCCCCTCCCTCCTTCGAACGTTCGAATGTTCGGGATGGGGCGGGGGAGGGCGGGGTTCTGGGCAGCGGGCCTGGGAGGGCGGAACGGAGGGAGAAAGAACAGGACAGGACAGGAGGATTTGTCTGGCGGAGGGTCGGTTGGTTTAGGTGCCGGTTGTATGCTACTACTACTACTATTACTACTACTACTACTACGGTATGTGTGTGGATGACCATCGACTTGAAACGGGTGGGCGGCCTCTGTCTGGGTTGGCCCTACGTACTAGGTACTAGGTACTAGGTACTAGGTACAGTACGTACAGCACCACCACCGTTGGTAAGTAAGCACTGTGCGGCCGGAAGAGGAGGGGCGGGGGAGAAGGGTCTTCCGAGTCTAATAGTAGTACTTCGATCTCCACTTTGAACCCTTTGCTAAGTACGTAGTAAGTACTACCCCTGCCCTCCCCCAGGGTAGGAGTGGTGAGTGACCCTTTCCGTCCCTGGGACTTTGGGGGGACTGCTTAGGGCAGGAGATAGTACGTACTAAATCTTATGGAAAATCTTGTGGAAAAATCTTATGGGGAAATCTACCACGGTACAGGCCTAAGTATTACCCCTCGAGGGTGCCTTAAAAGTTTAGTTTCCACTTTAAACCCCCTGTTTTCCATACCCTCGAGGGGTAATACTTACGCCTGCGACGTAGTAATACTACTACAGTAGATAATCTGATAAGGAAAATTCAATGGGAAAATCTAATTTGCAAAGTTTCAACGGATAGGGAAGGAGAGAGGAGAGAGGAGAGAGAGCCCTACGGCGAGGGGGGGGTGGGAGGGGTGTAAGTAAGGTAAGGTGATAGATAGTAGTAGGTAGATATTCGAAACCGTGCCGGATCGAGTCGTGTGATGGATGGGGTTGGGTTGGGGGAGGAAAGGGGAGGGGGGTATTAATATCGCGCCGGAGGGGGGAACCATTCATCCATCCATGTCCTAGGTCGTAGGTCCTAGGTCGTCCCTGGAGAAAGGGGAGAGAGGACGGCACGGCACGGCATGGCATGGGACGCCATGGGAACCATGTCATGTCATGTCATGTCAGGCTGGACGGCTACGGGGTACCAGGTTACGTAGTAGTAGTAGTAGGACTAGTAATTGAATTGAATTGAATTGAATTCCGCGCCGAAGGGACCCTCGCGCGAACTCACGAACGGACGGGCCACGGGCTGAAACTTGAAGGGAGGGGGAGGGGGAGGGGGAGGGGGAGGGGAAGGGGGGTAGGTAAAGGTCAATTCAGAGTTTCAAAGTCAACATGAACCCTGCCCTGCCCTGCCTTGGCCGCTCGCTGTCTGGAAAGAGAAGGGAAGGTGGGGAAAAAAAGAAAAGGAAAAAGAAAAGGAAAAAGAAAAGAAAAGAAAAGGAAAAAAAAGAATTAGAATTAGAAAGGGAAGGAAAGGAAAATGTAATGTAATGTAATGTAAAAACTACTGTATAAGAATGAGAAAGAGAAGAGGAAAGAGAGAAGAAAAGAAAAGACAAACTGTAAAGAGAAAAAGGGAGAAGAAAGAATTCTACAGTAATGGGGGATTTAGGTAAGGATATAGAGGACCCTTGGATGGTCTTGAGGGTGGGAGGTACGTACGTAGTAGTAGTTGTGATACCGTACCGGTAATCGTCGTGGTGGTAATAGTGAGTGGTAAGTGAGTGAGTCAGTGAGTAAGTGAGTAGTGAGTAGAGACGAACGCAGAAGTCGTAGGTAGGTAAGGTAGGTAGGTAGGTTACCAGTACTAATACTAGCACTAGCGCTAATACTAATACTCGCAGCCGCTGCATCGCCGACGTGCATATACCTAAGGTAGGTACCTAGGTAGACACGAATGGATATTCAAGTACTTTACTTTCAGAGATCGATGATTGGCCCGGCCAGGCCAGCTTGACAGAGAGCTATTCTTTTTTCTTCCCTAGGTACTTACTGTATGTATGTATGTCCTACTTACTACCCGTGAATCCAGGATATACTAGCTAGCTAGCTCCAGTACGGATAGGATAGGTAGGTAGCGGAGCGTAAAGGGCCAGATGTGAACAGCAGATACTCGTATAATACATACATCGTATATTTACCGGTAGAATGATTTGCGACCCGGGGAGGGGGGCCAGGTACGGTACGGTACGGTACGGTAAGACAGATATATTACCGGTATTAAAACGTACGACGTCTACCGCCCTTTTATGAGTAAGGGTCTGTGAGTCTAGGTAAGGTACTTACTACTTACGACTTACTTGCTTGCTTGCTTGCTTACTTGCTTGCTTACTACGACGTACTATATATCCTTCAAGACTGAAAGGAGGTCCTTCGTATCATATGTACATATCACGGGTGAATAACCTACCATTCTAGTCTGTGCACATGAGAAGATCCTACCTAGGCAATGCTGCTTGCTGCTGCTGCTGCTGCTGCTGCTGCTGCTGCTCTTTTATTCGAGTTGTAAGCACCGGTACGTAGTAAGTAAGTAACCGGTACCGGCACGCCGAACGAAGGCTCCATCCATGACATAACGAGAGTGCCAATCTGCAGCGCAACAAACCAGCCGCGGCTCACCATCGTGATACCGACCTTACCTACCGACCGACCGACTGGATCAGTAGTCGTCGTCGTCGTCGTCGTACTCCCGGCACGAGAGCCCTGTCGACGGAACCCTCTACTTACCTACTTCCTTCCCGTGCGTACGAGGACGTACTACGTAGAATTAATGGCGCTCTGACAGCGTCTGTACTACCGGTACCTACTGCTTTCTTTCTTTGCGGGCTCGTACCGAGGAAGGAGGCATAGGTATGCGAGCGCAGATTTACGTCCTGGCGCTGCTCGTATTTTTTATTTTGTACACTGTACCGGTACCATGTCGCTATCGATGAAAGGTATAGATGCATAAGGTACATACGATATTGCCGAGCCACTTCGCCGTCCCGTCCCAAGTACCTATATAACACGAGCGATTCCTTTGCTGCTATAATACCTTACACTCTTTTTAGAAGCTCCACTCGGTGAAAACGCTCAGCTTGATCGACTGACATCTATCGATCTATCCATCTATGATGCGTTTCAACACCCCCCTCCTCGTGCTCGCCTCCCTCCTCGGCGCCGCCACCGCCTTCCGCCGCACCTGCAGGCCCAACACCAGCAGCGGCATCACCGGCAGCGGCTTCTACACCCTCGTCGCAGGCGACACGTGGCGCGCGATCGCGGCCGACTTCTGCACCTCCGCGTCGGAGCTGCAGAACATGAACAACCGCACCCCGTTCCGGACCGGCGCCTACTTCCAGGTCCCGTGCCGGCCGCGGAAGCGCGACTGCGCCCGCATCCCCGGCAGCAACTTCGGCTACTACAGGGTCGTTAAGGGCGACAAGTTGACCTTCATCGCGGAGGACTTCTGCACGAACGCCGATGGCATGCTCGTGTTGAACTCGGAGGTTATCAAGAGCTATAATCTCCCCTCGGGCACCATCCTGAGGGTTCCTTGTGCGTGGAACTAGCTAGGTAGGTAGGTACTATACTGTGATAAAAAAAAGGCCTCGCTCGCTTTGCCTGTTGCGGGGCTGTGAGAGGCGTGGGAGTGGGATTTGGTGACGGAATGGGTTGTGGGTTGGACTCTATCTTTCTGCTCTAGAGCTGAGATCTATGAGGCAGCTCGACTGCTCCTTTTTCTTCGACAGCAGAGTTGAGCTCAATTTATTTCGGAGAGAGGAAAGGAGGTAAAGAGATAGAAACTAAGCCTCTCTGTACGATAAGATGTTGAGGACTTGATTGTCAATAGATAAAAGGGACGTACGTGTCTGTGTATATATATATATATATATATATATAGATGGAATTGCGATAACTGTTCTTGCTAGTGCGTACTTCTTCATAACACGAGGTCAGAGGAGGAAGCTTCTGATGAGTGTGGTTGTGGTTGTGGTTGTGCTTGATGATTGACTTGACTTCGGAGAAGAGCGTCTTCGTTCCCGTCTTTCCCCGCCGCCCATCGTCGGCGGTCGCAATTGAGTTTCTGCTGCTGCTCCGCCGGAGTGCAGCTCGTCCGATTGCCGATGCTGGGGTGGGGGAGGGGAAAAGAGCGAGCGCGAGAAAAGATGAAACCAGGTACTACTATTTACTTCGGTCGCTGGTCAGTCAGTCACCTCGACGAGAGATCCAGTACAGAGGGTAGGTACCGTAGGTACCCAAGCGCGGAAGGGTCAAAGACCGGATCCGACGTCTTGCGTCTTGCGTCTTGCGTCTTGCAGCCCTAGGTCGCAGGCCTGTCGGGCTCAGGCGATTTTAGTAGTACTTACTCTGACTTACTTTCGGGAATCGGACGACGTGCACAGGCAGGTGCGCTATCGGGGCCCGGCGCGTAGGGCGATGTGTAATACCGGTAACGCAATGCGAAAAGCACCGATGCTACTGTACGTACGGTACCAGGTAGTCGTAGTCTAACAGTAACAGCGGGCCCTGCCTGGGTAGGTAGACCCGCACAGTAGCCCGTGAGCTGAATTCTAAAAAAGGGACTAGAACACCACGCTGGGTTGTGGCAGGCTGAGAGATAACGTTGGCCCGAACAGATACTACGTAGGTAGATAGGCCTACTAGTAGTCCGACTACTGATGTACTAGTATATCCGTATAGTACCGTAAAGAAGACATCGTGATCCCAGGCAACCAACCAACCGCCCAGATCCCCCTGCCGTGCTCTTCCCGCCCAAACCACTCCCGCAGCGAGCGAGCGAGGCAGAAAAAGCGCAGAAGTGAAATCCCGCCCTCTTTGTCCGTAGACGAGTCCGAGAGAGAGAGAGAGAGAGAGAGAGAGAGAGAGAGAGAGAGAGA